TCTAGACAATTCTGTGCTTCCAACTTTGTGGGAAAAGTTTGTGGAAAAAGCACATATGGGTGTGATGGTCAGGTGTCCACAAACTACACTTTTGGCCATGTAGTGTATTTCTACTTAGTTGCCCAGTGTATTTATTTCTGTTAATGGTAATGGTAATGGATGAATTCTCAATTCAGATTTCTAAAGAATGTTTTATTTCTACCTGATTGCTCATTGCACTTGAGATTGAAGCTTCTTTTTTTATTTGTTGTATCATGTTTTATGTTCAGTCTACTGAATCAGGTCTGTGTTGTTTGGTGTAGTTATTGCACCAAAAGCCAAAAGGAATTTTCCAATAAAGTTATAAATTCAATTCAATTCAACTGAAGATTTATTTCACAACTTAAACCAAAACATTGAGCGAGGCCATGATTTGTACAGTCGATGCCATTCCCGTGCACCAGAGGGCGCTGTTTCCACTCCGGTTTCTTGAGTAAACAAGGAAGAAGCCGATGGTGACGTTGACGCTGCGAACGCATACTTCCGTACTACGCAGTACGTAAGAACGGTACGCAGCCGTGGCTATAGAGACGATAGGCGGCGTCTGCTTTTGCGTGCTACTTAGCACGCTAGTGCGCCGTCGCTGTTATGCAGCTCTACGTGGGAAGGCGGACCATGGACTAACATCCCGTTAGCAGGAGGATTTTCTTCGGTTAATTAAGTGTTTGAGTTGTAGCACGAAAGAAACGATAAGGAAGATGTTTAAAAGCTGGGGAACGTGGCTCGGAATCGAGTCCCCATCCGGATGCGAAAAAGACGGAATCCAGGCCGAGGAAACATGCGGAAGTGACAAGGACGCAGAAAACAGTGCAGTAAACAAACAGGAGGGCAGCGACAACAGGACAGAAAACATGGGAGAAAAGCAGCCGATTCTGCAGCAAGCCAAAGGCCTGAGTGGTTAGCTGACATTTCCTTTTTATTTCCACACAACTGACAAAGCTATCGTATTTATTCCGGTGTCATTTGTGTCATTTATGCTAGCTCTGTTCCTGCTTATTAACTCTCATAGAAGTGTAATAGAGCAGGAAAATAAATCCAGCAATGTAAAAATGTTGTTTAACAACAGGAAAAAGTCATCCAGAGACAGGCTACTAAACTGTATCTTTATCTAAACTGTACCTTTCCTTGTCTTCCACATGGACACTGTACATTATACACTAAATGTAAAGCTTTAAAGGTACTCTAGGTAATAGAAGTTAAAGGTGCAATAGGTAACCCCTGTGAGGGGTGAAGGGTGTGTGTACTGCCAGGTACAGCTTCTGAGTGTATATTCTGAAAAGTGAAATTGCACAACCAGGTCTACTAACAGTCTATTCACCGGCGAGATCACTCAGGTTAAATGTGATAATTACAGTAAAATAGCTTGGCTTGATCACGACAGACTGTCTGGATTGACCAGATTATCGTTTATGCCCCAAGGATACATTCTGAACTTTGCGAGCAGCGCAACAAAGAAGATCACCGAGTCGGTGGCAGAAACAGCGAGCACCATCAAGAAGACCGTGGAGGAAGGAAACATCGACGGCATCATCGACAAGGTGTGAATTTACAATCCTTGTACTGGAGTTTCCTTACAGGAAAACTCCATCCTGGAATATATTATATTATTAAACATATTATATATTAAATATATTCAGATTAAATATTGGTGATTAGTGATTATGGTATGGTTGCTAGGTGAGGGTGTTTTTTTTTTTTTTTTTTAATCACTGTCAGAAGGTTGTGTGCCAAACTGATGTGGCAGTTACAAAGGAAAAATGTTAACACTCTGAAACATGAGGAATAACAATAGGTTTTGTTGTTAGCTTCTAAAAACACATGAGCAGGTATTTCTTTTCGCACTGCGCCTCGCCAATTTGCCTACACAAATTTTTTTTTTTTTTTAAATTAATGAACAACATGGGCTCTTAGTTATAGTTTTGTTAGTTTTTTGCGTTGAGGAACATCTGCGAAACAAGTTAGTTCCGGTTATCACTTACGTTACAGCAGCTATAAACAGTCATTCCCTCACCAGCCTCTCTTTTCTTCTCTCTCTTGAATCTAATAAGACACACAATAATACACAACTTATCATGTTACTGAGAAAGCATATCGCACAATGCCCTCTGTCCTGAAGAGTGTCCCATGGCTGCATGTTCGCTACAAGATCACAACAACTTTACCTGCATGCTGGAATCCGGCTTGACAGCTAGCAAAAACCATGATGAGTAATAAGTAAGATATAAAACACATGGGGCGTGTGGTTACAGGAAAATAAATCAACAATATGGTGCAGGGTCAGAAATGAACTTTTTTATTAAGGGGCAGTATTTGCCCTCTGGAGTTCTGGGGCATTTATTATCCTTATGAGGACATTTTTTCCCCCCTAATCATATCAAACACACAGTGTCACCCATTTACATCAAACTCTTTGTATTTTTATTTGTATTCATTTTCATCACAAATTTATTAGCTAAAGAAACATCTTCCATAACATTTAATTACGTAATATATTTTTCATGGTCATCAAATGACAAGTGTGTGTGTTTTTGCGTGTGTATATGCACGCACACACACACACACACACACACACACAAACACACACACACAAAACCATTTCACTTACAAACAATGGCTATTTTTATATTATTTCAGTATCGAGACAGTTGTAGATATTTTCACAGTGGATTTGGATGTCTCCGTTTTTTGTGTTGCTGGTGGGTTCGATGGCGTGTTCGGGTTTGCATGGCTGACATGCGACAACAAAACACCAGCGGCATAAAATATGATTATTTTCCAACTTTCAAAGAGTGCTACTGACCTGTTATGTCCAATTCAATTCAATTTTTGAACTGAAATTGCAGGACAGCAACAACAGCGTGTAGCTTAGCAACAAGCTGGCCAGCTAACATTAGTGGTAACTGACTCAAAACAATGATTAGTATGGTCAATGTTACAGACTTAACAAAAGTAATGTGTCTATATTAACTGAAGTCAGTAGCGCTATAAACTCACTTAAAAGTATAGAAGGTGGACTTTATGCTGATCACAGTGTGAGCAGCCAGGTTGATCGTAAATGGTGAAGGAACTGGTAGTTGAGGAGTTGAAATTTCAAGTTGAGGAGTTGAAATTTCAAGTTGAGGTGGTGTTTCCAGTGGATTTTCCGGTTGTAGGCAGGGAATTACAAGTTGCAACTTCACCTCAAATGCAGCATAACAGATGGCCAACAGTCAGTAACTGTACACCTACTCTTAGTTCCCCTCTCTCTCTCTCTCTCTCTCTCTCTCTCTCTCTCTCTCTCTCTCTCCTGGTGTCTTTCTGGAGCTCTCTCTCATTGTCTGTATCTCTGTCTTCATGTCCACAGACCATTCTGGGAGATTTCCAGAAGGAACAGGAAAAGTTTGTTCAGGAGAAGAATGCTAAGAAAACAGGTAAAGGTGTATATAAATTGCCTTTGTTAAAAAAAAAAAAAAAAAAAAAAAAAGATCAAGTTTTACTGAACATATGGAGAATTCCTCCTTTTCTGTGGATGTGTAGATGCAGCGGTGCCTCCCTGGGTGGGCTACAGTGAGGAGGAGACCATTCAGCAGCAGATCTTAGCTTTATCAGCTGTAAGTTTATCTGCTCTGATCAGCATTCATATCACTCACTATGGATCGGTAGATTGAGCGGGTAATGTTCATTTCTGGAGAGCTTGTGAGCTTGGTCGAGTCCCAGCATGCCAGAAGAGCTACTCTTGGGTCCTTGAGCAAGACCCTAAACCCTTAGGTGTATATTGTGCATCATTGTTGCGTGAAATGATTTGTAACCCTTTATATTAAGGTTCCCTTAACTGACTATAGTGACTGCATTATTGACACTGAAAAAGTTTGAACTTCAGCAACTTAATAAACTGAAATGAATAAAGAATAAACACGGTGGTGTGCTCTTATAGGAAAATAATCAACGATGGATTGGTGTGATGCGGCCCAGCATAAAGCGGAGTTACTGTAACTATCCTAGAGTTGAAGGTTTTCCTATAACAGTGCATCCCAGGATAGTATTTTATTCATCTTGTACCTTTTATCCATTTATAGTTACATTTAATGTGGTGGAACAGGTTAGTTCCCTTTCATGTCTCGAAGTTAATAACGCAGCATGTCCTGCTACTGAGAGTCCTGAAGACTTTCCTATTTGGGAAACTTTAGAGTTACAGCTTTACTTCTGACTGTTTCAAAGCACTGAAACTGGAGACTCCTTCCCAAGATATTAAGTAAATTGTTTTATATGGAGTGTCTGTCCTGTTACTGTTGTAATGATAACATATTAGGCCTTAATATAAACCTGTGCTTTGCTTTGCAGCTGAAACTATCAGAGGCGCTGTTATAGAAAAACAGTCAACAATTTCTGACCAATCAGAATCAAGAATTCAGCAGCATCAGTGAAGGGAACCTTAATGTAAAGTGTTACCTAACTATCTGCTAAATGAATAAAGTGTTTGGTAATATCCATCCATCTGTCAGGACAAGAGGAACTTCCTTCGCGACCCTCCGGCTGGTGTGCAGTTTCACTTTGACGTTGAGCAGATGTATCCCGTCGCTCTGGTCATGCTGCAGGAAGACGAGCTTCTCAACAGGATGCGTTTCGACCTGGTTCCAAAACAGTGAGTGAGAATGAGAACTCGTGCACCTCCTGCTAAATGTGAGGAAGAGCACTAGGTTTGGTTATTGTTTCTGAAGGCACGAAGGTTGATAGTTGAGAGTGAGTTGAAGTGAGGCCAAGTACAGTGACCCATACTCGGAATTTGTGCTCTGCATTTAACCCATCCAAGTGCACACACACACACACACACACACACACACACACCTGGAGCAGTGGGCAGCCTTTTTGCTGCAGCGCCCGGGGAGCAGTTGGGGGTTCGGTGCCTTGCTCAAGGGACTCAGCTCAGTCGTGGTATTGAGGGTGGAAGAGAGCGCTGGTCATTCAATCCCACCTACAATCCCTGCCAGACCTGAGACTCGAACCCACGACCTTCAGGTTACAAGTCCCACTCTCTAACCATTAGGCCACTGTTGGAGTGGTAGTCCCATTCTCAATATAAAACTGGTTATTACCATTCTGACAGTTTCACGGCTGTGTTAAGTGGCTGCCTGGCATTATAGGCTTCTGGTCACTGGAACTGAATTTTACTGAGATTCTCAGAAATGTGTATTTGAAATTTGAAAATGTGAAGAGGAGACACTTCGAAACTGGGTTTATCATAATCATACCAACCCATCCCTGTTTCAAAATATTTGAAAGAAATATTTGTCTCGTAAATTTCACAAAACATCACTGTCAATAAGCCTAGGATACAGCCAAGGAGAAATCTTTAATGCTCCATAGATGTGCAGTTGTATTTGTGGCTCTGAAACCTATGTGTGTGTTTCAGTGTGAAAGAGGAGGTGTTCTGGAGGAACTATTTCTACCGGGTGTCTCTCATTAAGCAGTCGGCCCAGCTCACGGCGCTGGCGGCACAACAGCAGGCTGCGGAGAGGAGAGAGGACGACAAGAACGGAGCCGATCCACAGAGCGAGAACACATCAGGTTCTGTCTCCATATCACTGAGTCTGATTGGTCGGATTAGTTTTCTAATCAGCTGCTCTGATGTAATTATCGGCAAACTGCTGATGAATAAAGCACCTTAAGCTGTGCTGGTATTGGAAAATAATCAGCTTTGGATGGTAATGGCATTACTCCACCATGTTTTATTCCTTACTTAAATAATGCAGCAGTGATAAATGAATATGACTTTCTTAACCTTATATTTCAGGGCATTCACATCCATATTCTCATCATCTTGTTTTCGTCCCTATGTGTTAATTGAATTGGTTTTATTTTACAGAATCCAGAAGACCAAAAACACCTCCTACAACCATCAACGCCAAGCCAAAGTCCAGTGAGGTACAAAATAGCCTTAGATATTTGCAGAATTTAGAATTAATGTAACTGTATGAAGTATTAGATCAAACTTACACGTTTTCTTTACTTGCCACAAATGTGTATATATACATATATAAAAGGATATTTTCGGCTGTCTTTTAGATTTGCACTGGAACCTCAAGGCTAATGTAGCTAAAATATAACAAAAGTTTTTCACCCAAAACCTTTTCAACACGCACATGCCAAAATCTTGCTTTATGCAATGTGAGATGTGTGTATATATATATCTCAAATATATCAAAAATATATAAAGATACATCAAAAAAATATCCTGAAGAGTCAGTATATGAATTTAAGTCAATCGTTAAATTGAATTGTACATTGCTTTCTGGTACAATTCACTTTCAAACTTTGGGAGGCGGAGTCAAGGTGTGTGGTGTGATTGTGTGTACAACACAATTACAACAGTCCTTTCTCTGATTTTGTGATTCTGGCAGCTCCTGTGAAGTTACAGTGTTCAGCTAGACTGTGAAGTTTAGGATAAAGTGCTAAACAGACCTTCTTGTTAGGTGCATCCAGTGCATGCAAATGTCAGATACAAAACGTCTTGGCTGCTTGACTACATTTAGGGTGAGGAAGAAATAGCATAAATTAGATTTTTTGCATGCATTATCAGCGAACTCAAACAGATCTATACAAGTCTCTGTATGTCATGTTACACATGCTGTCCTTGAGAATTTCAGCTCTGCTTTATCTATAGTGTCACTGTCAATTTCTCACCCTTTTCCCCCACAGCATCATGAGGAGGAGGAGATCTCGACCAGCCCTGGCGTATCTGAGTTTGTAAGTGACGCGTTCGACTCGTGTAACATCGACCAGGAGGACTTGAGGAAGGAGATGGAGCAGCTGGTACTGGATAAGAAAAATGAAGAAGGTGAGCTGAAGGGTATTGCAGTAGTGAGCGTTTTGGAACATAGCCCATGACTTACTCGTAATGAACTAATAATGAATTCTATGTTTGTAACATAGCCTCTCTCTCTCTCTCTCTCTCTCTCTGTCTCGCTGTGTCTCTCCTGTCAGAAGATGCGTCTGAGTGGGAGCGGGAGCTGCAGCGGGAGTTGCAGGAGTATGAGGTGGTGGCCGAGGCGGATAACCGAGACGAAAACTGGGACCGCGAGATTGAAGAGATGTTGCAGTCTGATTAGCTATTCCCCACGAGCCCTCACTTTCAGTGTGGAATCATCACTACACTGAAGAGAGACGGAGAGTGGAAAAAAAGAACGGACCAAACAAGCCACTACTAAGACAGGCTTAAACATCACACACAGTCCTACATGTACAACATTGTTCTCTGTTCGAATGAAGTAGGCAGAGATTTATGTTAAGAATGCATTTCAAATGGAAAAGTAGCATTCAGGGATGTAATCTGTTTCTGTGAAGTAGTGGACTTAAAGCGAAAATGCACAGCATCTACAGTAAACTTCTCTCTTCTCACTGATAGATGAATCAAGTGGTTAGTGCTACTTTTTTTTATATACAATGAATCAGTGTGTGTAATCTATTCTTTATTGTCTTTCTGTAATGATGAGCGTGATTTTAAACTCAGAATGAGAATGTGTGACTCTGCATGTGACACTGATAGTTGGAAAGATCCTGAGGCTGTAGAAGATGAAAGCAGATAAACATTATGATCACTTTTTTTCTGTTTCATTTGACCTTCCAAAACTGAACTGAATTTATTAAAGAAAAAGTAATATGCTGTTTTTTCTTTCTCAGTACATCACTCATCTATTAGCTGCTCAGTAATATGATATTATGTGTTTATTAAATGTTATTTTGTCTGTAAATGTTGCCTATATCTCTGAGTACTTACCTTATATAGCACCTTATGTAGTAAATCTATGCAGTGTGTTAGGAACTGGATGCTGAAATAATTTTTTGTTATTTTTGTGCTTTGTACATTAGCACATTAGATTTAAAATGCAATAATAACAAAATGTTTCTCGTTCCAAGTTGACATTAGTCTTGTACTGAAAAGCTAATGTAGCTAAAACAGAAGGGAACTCCTATCTTATAGCTCCTGGTTTAAAATGTATAACTGAATCAACAGTTTCATAAAATAGCAGAACAGCTCAGTATTAAAAATTCATTTATGAAATATCACACAATTTACCTTCTAACTTTAACCTAACAATAACATCAAGTACTTCACCAATGTTAGCATTTTACAACAGTTAGTTAGCCAGCTAACAATAGCCCTGGCAAACTAACATTAACCACTAAGCTATGGTTAATTAGCTAACTAGATTTAACTAAAACACCAGCTTGTATTTGGCTAATGTTAGCAAAAATGTCTAAAATGCTAGAGTTGGTGAAGTACTTTTTGACATTAGCCAAATATGACCTGGTGTTTTGGTTAATGTTTGTCAGTTAATTGGATAGCTAGCAATCGCTTTGGCTTGTGGTTATTGTTAGTTTGTTAACCCAGAAGCTAGCTAACTAACATTAACCACTAAGCTAATGTTAATTAGCTAACTGTATACAATAGTACAAGTACTACAGCAGCAGTATACATTTAATTTCAGATAAAAGATTTTATTTACTTCAAGGACACATTTTAGAGAAGAGGAAATGAAATGTGGAAAAATAAATCAAGGGAATGTAAATTTAATTACATAGTATAAATGATATGAGGAATAACAAATGAAGAAAAGCTGAACTGCAACGAGGAGTTTGTTTACAGTGACAGCGTACATAACCAGGCAGTCCCAGTACTTGCACACTCTTACAAAAGTATGTACTTCTTCTTAGTGCATAGTGTCAGTAGGTGAATTGAGACACAGGGTATGTAAATAAATAAATAACTAAGCAAGGTTTCCGGACCGGAAGTCAGTTTTCCAAATGGGTTTTCTCAGCCACATAATACTTGTGTCCTGGCTAAGTCATGGCTTAAACCATTACTTTATAAAGGTTTTACATATTTTGGAGGTTATTTGTACAAATAGAAAATAAAAAAAATCGACTAGTGCACCTTTAACTCTGCTTCTGCTGGACCCAGCCGCTGATCACGTGACCCAGTGACGTCTCTCCGGCCCGTGTCAGTCCTCTCTCGCTCTTGTGTGTGTGTGTGTGCGCGCGCGCGCGCATGTGTGTGTGTGAGAAAGAGGAGTGTGTGTATGTGTGTGTATGGAGAGGCGAGATGGCTCCTTTTCCCGACGAGGTGGACGTGTTCACCGGGCCGCACTGGCGAATGAAGCAGCTGGTCGGCCTTTACTGCGATAAGGTACATTTTATTTCACGTAAACCTGCGTGTAAACAATCTCCAAATCTTCTTAATCCACATTAATCCGAGTTGCTATGGTAGCGTAGCTAGTGCAGGTTAGCTAGTAGGGTTAGCAAGTTAATTAATGAGAGAATTAATAAAACGACCTGAAAGCGCTGTACAGGGGTTAGTCAGGGATAAATGTTATATAACACTCATATTCGTGATATGAAAACTTGATAATAAAATCAAAATATTGAAGAAGTTCTTCGAACCTGACAGGGGATATTCGAAGCTAAATTGTGCGCTTTGTTTATTTGTTTTTATTTGTATGTAACGTGAAAATTAAAAGTAACAAAAATACAATTGCATCATTTAGATGTCGAATGCACTATCATGGTTACTTCGCTAGCTAGTTTTGTTAGCCCAGGCTGCCTGTATTAAAGCAGTGTGTGTGTGTGTGTGTGTGTGTGTGTGTGTGTATATATGTATATATGTATATGTATGTAAAATTTAGGTGAATAGATGGTAGATAATTAATGCTGCCATTTTGTGAATTGTGCACATTTCCTGAGAGGAGAACACCGCACTCGTGTAGTCGTGTAGTCACACCAGTAGCAGCCAGTTTGTTTATAGCTTGCTAGCCAACTTCCTAGCAGGCTGCTTTACTACGTGTGTTACGTGCTAGCAGACAGCTAACAGCTAATAGCTGCACCTGAGCTGTGTGTGATGAACATGTAGTCTGAGGAGTAAACCTGACCTGCTCTAAAGCTCTCTGGAAATGTGTGGAAGAAGGAAAGACAGTCATATAAGCCCTTATTTTAAAGACGTTTGAAGATTTTGAGTAGAGGGTTTTAATGGCGCATCCTCTATGGAAAGCCACTGGGTGCAA